ACCCAAACCATTATGTGATCCTATGATTGTATGAAATAGTTACTCATGTATTAAAACCTCTTCTTATGCACTTCTTCAGTTTTGCTGTGACGTTCCTGAGCCTGCTCCCCACGTGTATAAAACTAACCGTCCAGCCTTCTCTCCGGGGATTTAAATTTGCTTTGGTAAGTGTACGCCTGCGTCTTGGCTTGCTCCTGGTCTCATACCCACCGCTGTGACCAGCGGTCCTCCTGCCTGCTGCTGCGCGCCAGCCCGCGTACCAGTCGACGCCGTTCTGCGGCCGCTGAAGAGGAGCGCTAGAACGTGCTTGGCGGTGGCGTGTCCGGGCGGTCCGACTGCTCTTTTGAATCCAGGCTTTTTATGATTCTATGAATTCAGATTTTTTTCCTCAGGCTCCGTTCTCTTTAGTTAACGCCGTATTTTGGTTATCTTTCTCTGAGGAGCCTTGAGAAGGTTCCGTACACATTAAAGCCTCAAATAGAGTTGGAATTTCTCCTCTTTTTGTTTAGCTTTCCAAAGTGCTAGTTTTTCTTACCGCGCTGGCTGTGAAGCGCAGTAAAATGTCCTGAGATGGACACTGTGAGCTCATTAGCAGTTCTGGGAAAACACTATCCTTTCCTTTTCAGGGTTTGCCTTTTCTTAGTCATATTATACCACTGAAGTCAAGCACATTAGCACGACTCACATGCAAAAATCAATTTTCCTTGAAATCACAAGTACGTGGAGCTGGTCTGAAGGCTGCAGGAGTCAGCAGATAATTTCTGGTGTTAATTTTATGTGTGTACTGTTTGAGAGTTTTGGGCAACATTGCTTAAAACGAGCGTTTATCCTTTCTAAGGATCGGTTTGGCTTACAGCGTGCTTTTATTTGGGTGGGAAAAACAAGAGCTGTACTCTGCTGTACTGGCTGCTCACGACAGTGAGCAAAGCTGTGTGTCAGAAAGGGTGACCCTCGCCATGGCGCTGGTGTACGCGACCGCTGCGCTCTTGGTGGGGACGCTCCGGTCCGTAAAGCTAAGCGGGAGCGAGGGCTCTTTGTGAAGGGCTTGCTGGATTGTTCTGGGCCAACTCTCAAACGGTGTCGGTTCTGGTGTGGAGAGGTGAGTTCAGAAGCAGCTCTGTCTGTCTGTAAACTGCACTGGAGCAAACGCAGCAGTTAATTAGAGAACTCGGGTCGTTTAGCCCGTATGTTCATGTAAACTCTGTGTCAGCGGAGACGCTGAACCGTGCTTCGCGCAGCAGTCACTTACCGTAACAGCTCTGATCTCTTCTCCCAAGGTTAGCTGTGCCTTGTCGTTTTTCCTGTTCTCCTTCCAAGTACACGAAAAGTCTATTCTTCTCGTGGCAGTGTAAGTACACTGTGTTTCTGTGGATGTACTCTGACCTTCTCTTCCTCACCTTGTAACTGCACGCAGCTTTCTCACAGGTGCGTAGAGTTCTTCAGATCAGGTAGGTTTCCTTTTCTGAACAACGTGTAGGTGGAAGCGTGCAACAGCAGCCAGGCTGGTGTCTCCTGCATCGCTCGCCCCTGCCGCCAGCGTTCTGGCTGCGTTTCCGGCGTACGACACGGCACAGAGCACGCTTGTCCAGGGACTGGTGAAGGTGACGCTGCCGTAGGCAAGGCTGGGGCACAGTGGTGGCAAGTGGCTGGCGAGTTGCCGTGCAGGTGCTCCCGGGAGCCTGCGCAGGACGGGCATGAGCCTGGCTGTCCCTGTGTGCCACTGGTACGCGCTGGAAGCGTCCTGCTGTGCCACTCCCCTGCTGCAGACCCCAAATGTGTGCCCTGTGTGGGGTCTGGGGGGCGCCAGCAGAGCATCCGGCGCTTTGGGCGCTGCCTGTTCCTGGATTTTATAAGCCCGTGCCAGTGGGGTGTGGGCAGAGCTCTGCCTGGCCTCCCAGGGGAGTGGGAGTCCAGCCTCCCACAAGTGACAAGGTGCTGTCACTCCACAATCTTTCTCCTCTTTTCCTTTCAGACCCGTCTGCTTAATCATAAATGAAATCCCGTTTATGGCCACATGGTTTCTACTTGTATCGACTTTCAGGTGAGTTGGACACTGTTAACGTGATTTTGAAGTGGTGTTTTTCCCAGTTCTAGCAAGTGGAAGTTGGAGGGCCACAAAGATGCTCCGAGGGCTGGAGCCCCTCTGCTATGGGGACAGGCTGGGAGAGTTGGGCTTGTTCAGCCTGGAGAAGGGAAGCTCTGGGGAGACCTTATTGCAGCCTTCCAGTGCCTGAAGGGGCTACAAGGAAGCTGGGGGGGACTTTTTACAAGGGCCTGTAGTGACAGGACAAGGGGTAATGGGTTTAAATTGAAAGTGGGGAGGTTTAGATTGGATATCAGGAAGGAATTCTTCCCACAGAGGGTGGGAGCACTGGGACAGGTTGCCCAGAGAAGCTGTGGATGCCCCATCCCTGGGAGTGTCCAAGGCCAGGCTGGATGAGGCTTGGAGCAACCTGGTCTAGTGGAAGGTGTCCCTGCCCATGGCAGGGGGTGGGACTGGGTGGGGGTTAAGGTCTCTTCCCACCCAACCCGTTCTGTGACTCTAAGTATAAATGTAGTTTTTTTTCTCTTTTTACGTTCTTTAACATCTGTGTGCTCCTTGAGCAGCATGTTGCCCCTTCTGCTGAAGGACGGCCTGCTGCTGGCCTACGCTGTGACGACGCTGGCGTTCCTGTCGGTCTGCGCAGCCTGCTTTTCCGTATTTGAGAAGACTTCGGCAGAGGACCTGCAGCTGAAACCCTTCTCCCTCTCCCTGAAGGGACATGTCTCTTGGTTTAAATCATTTCCAAAGATCGTCAGGAGTCTGGTAAGCAATTTTAATTCCTCTGACTCTCAGTTGCAGCACTTGGTGGTACTGAAGTACCTGCACAAAGCAGTTTTCTGTCCGTAACCGTATAAAGCCGCGCTCGGGGCAAGCCGTACCGTGTCAGCGCAGCGGCGGGCTGCCGTCCTTCTGCAGCGTCATCCCGAATGACGAATACAGAGCACTCGAGTAATGAAAGGAACTGCCTCCTCGTCGGAGGGGTTAAGTCCCCGTTAGCTGATGGTCCCTTCCTTGCCTTGCAGTTTCTTCTGTCCCTAACCCTGATGGGCGGCCTGTCTCTGCTGAGCGCTGCAGCGCATCCTCCGCAGCGGTTCCCGGATTTATTCCCTGTATCCGTGTCCCTTATTGCTTGCCTGCACTTTGTAATGTTTTTGGTGTATTTTAATGTGGTTATACTCTGGGACTCAAAGAATAGTAGAAGTCAGAAGAAAATCAGTTAACGGAGGACGGAAGTGTGGAAGGACAGTGTTCTCCAAGTGGTGCCTGGCCCTGCAGGTAAAGCTGTTGGTGATGTAAGACAACGCCTGTGACCTAACGAAAATCAGGAAATACGTTACACGTCCATAACCACAGAACAATCAGCGTTTTAAAGGAGAAGAACTTGGAAGAGCGCTTGCAAATGGGATTTGGTGTGTCTTTAGAAGTGTTACACTTTTCTTACCGTTTGTAAACTTAAAATACCCAATAAAGGACCAAATTTGGAATGAATGGTGAAACAGCCTAGTTGTGTGAGCTGAAGGGCAAACGGCTTTGTCAGCGTCACCTTTACACATTTCCCGGACAGGAGGCAGGAGCGGTAGTGCGGGTGAAGCAGAAACTCTTCGCTGGCTTGCCGAGCTGCTGTAGGACACGAGCTGTGGTGTGGTCGGAGCAGGCTGCAGTCCAGCCAGGCTGCTGCACGCGGCAGAGGGAGGAGCTCTCGGCTCAGTGAGCGCTTGGTCCCTCAGCTAAAACCGCAGGGAAGAGAACAACCTTCCGGCAGCACCAGGGGCTGGAGCTGGGCCCGAGCTCTGTAGCGCATCAGGACAGCGCGTCTGCAGCCGCTTCCGTTCACCCGCAGGCGTTACTTCTCCTGTATTAGGTGGTAGTTCCCACACTACCCCTGCTTTTGGGACCCTGAAGAAGCGCCTGAGCCATGAGCCAGAGTCCGTGTGGGCACAGACGGGAGGGTTCCTGCGGATGCGGTGGGTCGGAGTGTGTTCCTTCCTGCGCTGTAGGGAGCAGCTCTCGGTGTGCTTGGAAGAGATGGTTTGTTGATGGCTCAACAATGGTTTGTAACAGGAATGAAAGGCCAAAAACCTTTAAAAACCCCTAAAATAAGAAAAACACCGCCCCTTATTGCACAGTGAGTTGTGGATGTGAACTGAACTAAACTCGGCACAGCACAGCCCCCAGTGCCAGTAGTGCAGAGCACACACCCCGGGTACTTCTGCACGTCACAATGCGTGCAGCCCGAGAGTAAATCACCGAGCACGTCACGGCTGTGCAGTCTAACCAGGAGCTGCTCTGCCCTTTCCCTTCCTTCTGCTCTGCCGCTCCGTAGCTGTTAAAAAGCAGCAAACCCCTCCCCACCCAAGGGTGTCTCCCCTGCCCTCTCGGCGCAGTCGCATCCCGCGGTCACTGACACGAGCGCGTCCGTGAGCGTGTGAATCAGCTGTTGCGCAAACTTCCAACTGCGCGAGTTATGAACGCTGCAGGGGAAGCCTCCGCAGGCTGGGTGGGTTCGTTCCGTTTTCCCAGCTCTATCTGTTGTGGAAAAAGTAACCAGGGCCAACGCTGCCCCCGCGGCGGCTCAGATGTGCCCGAAGAGGGGCGCAGGGGTAGCGGTGGGAACCGGCGGGGGGCAGGTGCCGTTCAGCCGCTGAGCTGCGCTGTAAGCTCGCTGCAAAGCAGCACAGTGACAGATTTTCAGGACTCTTTAGGTTTTTGGAGAGGGTGACGCTGCTCACAGCAGGCAGGAGCTCTGCCCACAGCACGGCCTTTCCTTTCCGAAGCGCAGGCTGAGCAGTGGTGATGTGGATCAGGACTCCTTAACCGGAATCTTTGCGGAGGCTGCGGAAGCTGAAAACCATGGCGTTCACTCTGAGCAGAGCGGGGCAAGAGCCTGCCAGACCTTCCGGCAGCTGGAAGAATGTCTCCTTCCAGTGAAACGGGACATGGAGATAGAAGGGAGCGGAAGGACTTTGGGTTCTAATTAGCCGGGTCCCGTGTTCACCCCAGCCCAGGGGACAATCCTTCCCCCTGTGCAAAAACATTAGTTTGGAGTGTCTCTCTTTGCCCTTGAGACACCGCTGGGGCGATAAAGCGCGAGCCATACGATCCACTCGTGTGGCACTGGGAAGGGGCGCCCAGCGGCCTCCGAGGCAAAACCTGGAGGGGCGGGGGCAGACGGTCACTGCTCCAGTAGCTGAGGCGTGTAGGCGTGGTACGGGCAGCAGAATCGGGGCGTAGAACTTTGCATTTCCCTAAAAAACGATTAAATACCAGATTTCACGGTATTTACTAGCTGTCACGGCGTGAGTTACCGCTGTAATACACCGTCCATCATCACCTTTGCCGTTTTCTCACTACAAACGTTACTGTGTTCTTCGGAGACGACGCAGCGCTGCTGGACCTGGACGGGCAGGCGGCTCAGGAGCGGGCTCTGCCCGGAGCAGTCCTTGCTCACTTCCCAGCCGCAGTCGGGCTGGATGAACTCTTGCTGGTTCGCTGCCGCGCGAAGCAATCGGCTGGTGAGCCTGGTACGCGCCCCGACAGGCGGGGAGCAGGGAAAGGTGTGGAAGGTGAACGGCGTAAGCGGCACGATTCCCGTCCATCAAGCGCCAGCGTTCGCTTCCGGCCGGAATGCCCAGGAGTGAGAGTGCGACACCCGTTTTTATTAACGAGAACTCCCCAAGCGCACACGCACGTGTTTAACCGCGAGCTGCCGCCCCTTTAGCGCGTCGCTCCTCAGGATGCCGGCTGTAAAAGTCGGTTTACGCGAGCCACAGAGCTGGGCTGGGGCAGGAAGGACGCCGAGGTGCGCGCGTTGCTCTTGGACCTTCTGGAGTAAGGAAACTGTTCTGCTGCGCTCGAAGCCTGAGCGAGGCCGCGCCCCGCGTTTGAGACGCGGGGTGGTCACTCGGCTGGAGGGGTGGTGTGAGGATAAGGACAAAGGGTTTCATGACAACTCTCCCCACGCATCAGTAAATCCCTCAACTAAACTGCTGACCTAAGAGGGAACGTGGATGTTAGAGCGACGGCTTTTAAGGCTGCGGGCTCGAAGCCGACACCTTCACGTGGTGTGTCTTGGGTCGACCTGAGAGGAGACGTCTGCAGAGGTGACAGCGGTCCCTCAGGGCAGCAGCCAGAGGCAGGGAATGCGGGTCCTAAACACGTTCAGCACTCGGGATAATTCCTTGCACAATGGAGCTTCCTCTCGTGCCCAATCAGCGACGGAAAAAGTCATGTAATTTTAGGCAGGCTGTCGCAAAAGTAGACGGATTCAGTTAAACGCTGCTTGGGTAGCTTTTGGGGGTGCCCATGAGTTGAGCACGTGCACACGCACCCCAGCAGGAAGCAAGTGCTTCCCACTGAGGCCTGGTCTCCAAAGTTCATCCTTTAACATAGTTTCTTCTTACCCACTTCTTGGAGAGAGGATTATATGGCCTTTTTTAAAAAAAACACACCCCAACAAGGCAGCGTAATTCTGTATTTGCGGCAAGAACACACAGCAACGGAGTTTGCTGCCCATGCAGCAGCACCCTCCATCAGCATTTTGGACACGCGCTTGCAGAAACCCACCACGATGTATTATTTACATTGAGATTATCTGGTTGTGCACGTTGGGAAGTTTAAATAGATGCCAGAAATTTTATCTAGACGTGCACCTGCCTCGCGCAACGAGCGGTCCCGAACTGGTATTTGCTGGGGAGATAGGCTTACACTCATTTCTTCTCTCCTTTTAAGTACAGTCAAGCAGATGTAGAACTTTGTGCTGTTGTGGAATGCATTTTTCACATAATGCCTGTGTGGAGAGAAGGAATGACTAAAATAAATAGCAATTAGACAACGGCCTCATCATTCATGCGATCTGTTCAGAATTACGTGTCTGTCCGACACCCGGTACCGGCCTCGCTGCCTGCGACACACCGCCAGAAGGACGTCCGAAGGCAGTGCAGGGCAACGGCCCGTCTCCCCTGGGCCACAGTAACACTTCAGGGTGTTTCAAGGAAATGTGTAGTTTTTATCTGTACAAAAGGTTGGGAAGTAATTGCTAAAAGACCGTTTAGCTCTCACAACTCTTTTTTTAAAAAGTAAGAAAGCAAAGGGCTTTACGGTGCTGGTCACACTTGGGAGGGGATAGAGAGACCCAGAAAACGTAAACGTGTCTTATTTTGGACCAGGTGCAAACAGGACACTATTAATAGCAGAGACACAAGTGCTCTCTGAGCTAACTCCGCGTTGAAGCCCTGCAGCGGAGGTCAGGGTGAGTGTAGCTTAAAGTGATCGCTGTCCCACGGCACAGCCCCTCTGCCTTCCGCAGGACTCTGTCCTCTCGGCACGGAGCACAGCTCGGAGGCCCGTGGCTGGCCGGCTGGCTGCGTGCTGCCTGCCAGAGGGAGCTGGAGCCCCCCGGGCACCAACGGCGGCGAAAACAGCGCAGCAGGAAAGCAGAGCCTGAGCCCCGGCAGCGAGCACCCCTGCATCGGCAGCGCTGCAGTAGGCAGCTCCCTGGAGGCCGCAGCCCTGCCCGTTAAGGTCACGTTTTCTCGCTTCCGTCACGGGTATCGCAGCTGAATTGCCACTGCCAAGTTAGAAACTGGCAGTGCCGATGGGGAGAAATGCCGTGGGGTGTTTCAGAGCGGGACTGAGTTTCTGGAGATTTCACGTGCTTACCAAAGCAGTAACAAACACCACAGGCAGCGCAGCAGCTGCTTCCCACCACGCTATGACAGCCCTGACCGCCGGCCTACGGTCACCGCAGATGTTTTACGACCGAGTGCCTGGGTCCCTGTGACCATCCCACCTGGATGTGGCAGGCCGAGGGGCTGCTTACCTCAGTCAAGGAGCGACCTCAGGAAGGCAAAGCTGCTGTCAGTCTGAACGTGCTCTGTGGGGGAGGAAAATCAGTGTCGATAAACAGGACAAACGTGTCATCATGGAACTCACGAAAATCCCCGCACAAACATGAGTTAAATCAGTTACTGCAGTCGTTGCCAGAACCCCTTTGCTCCATACAGTTACTGCATCCCAACAGAAACTTTGGGGATTGCCTTAATTACTTGTGAGCATGCACAGATGCCGCGTGGTTGCCAACAATGACAAAGCAGAGCGGAGCGTGCTGTCAGTATGGGAAGCTGGTCCTTCTGTTTTGCTCCTAATAATAAAAGAATAAGTACGAGTCCCTAAGGACGACATCAGCAGGCTGAGCAGAATCCAGTCAGGGATTGCACGAGGGGAACAGCCATCCCCCACGTCCTCTGAAGGGTTGGCAAGAGGCGACCTCACCTGAGCCCCTTGCTCACGGAGGGCGAGGGGCTGAGCAGATGGCTGGGAGAAGCAGAGAAGCGTGCAAGGGTAGGAAGGAACTTGGGGAATGAGAACATACGGGGAAAGGGTCTGGAAGCAGGAGCGTGAGAGTGCCAAGATTTCCACATGGCTTTCTGCAGCAGATGACCAGCTCTGGCCTCAGCACCCTTAGTGTCTGCTGATGGATCACACGGCATTTTGATTCCCACACCACAAATGGTGAAGAGAGAAGTCGGAATTATTCGCTTTATATTAAACGTACCAAGAACAACCACCAGGTATTCAGCAGCTAAAAGGCTGCTACTCCAAGGAAAGGGGCGGCACATGAACCAAGACAGGGAGAGGCATCAAAGCCAGGGAAGGTGGTGAGGAACATTCCTGGTTCTCCTCATCTGCCATGCTGAGATTCCTTTGCTGTCACACGCTTCCGGTGTGTGATGGGATGCAGACGACCTGTCTGCGGCTCTGACATGAGGCACCAGGGACATTACCTGGAGCTGACCCAGACCAAGCCAGAAGTTATCACCCAAGCTAGGTCTCCTACAATTACTCCATAAAAAAGGGCATCCAATTCACCTTTGCCTCAGGAGCAACCTTTTGGCATTGTACGTAACAAACACCACTTGTTTACACAAATTGTCATCAACCACCGCCACCAGCTACTGCGTAACACAGGAGGCTGTCCAGTCTTGTCAGACAAGGAGCAGAAAAAGACTGGAATGTAACGACGAGTTGCTGTTCTTTGTGCGAAATGCAACTTCCTAACTCAGCCGTCACAAACCCTTCGGTCACCGCCTGCGGCCTTCCGGCCGTGCCGTACTTACAGGAGCCGTACTGCCAGAGCAGCCAAGCCCCGCTCTGCATTTCACCCTGAGAAGCTGCCCAGAACCACACGAAACATCATTAACTCTGCTTTCTTTCCAAACACAGAATCATAGAGTCACAGGATGGTTTGGGTTGGAGGGCCCTTAAAGCCCACCCAGTCCCACCCCCTGCCATGGGCAGGGACACCTTCCACTAGACCAGGTTGCTCCAAGCCTCATCCAGCCTGGCCTTGAAGACCATGAGAGCACATTGTGACAAACCAGCCTTATTTACAGTAACATGCACACAGATGGCATTAGGATTTAGGTAATCCAATAAGAAAATAATAGGATTTACTGCTCATATGCTCCAAAAACTCCCAATGTAGCAGGTTTGGGGTTTTTTTGGTGTCTGAGCTGATGAAGATAATGAATTTGTTCTTAAAAAACCCCAACAAAAGAGGCAACCCCCCTCCAACAACCCTTCTCTCTCCTGGTATTTGTACATGCAGAACTCCCGAGTAAGTTTGACTCCAGCAAGGCAAAGAGAACAAATATCTGCAAACTTCCGTGTGGGAATCTGTTGTGACGAGGGAATGAGCGGAGGGGATCTGTGGAGGCGCCCGGAAAGGCGCCTGGGCTGCGGCGGGTCCCTTGCTCGCTTCTCACCAGCTCAGCACTTTGGGGTTGCGTGGGGCAGGGCAGCAGCTGGAGTCACCAGCAGCCTCGTGGGTGGGGGGCAGAATCCTGCTGCCCTTCACCAAGGCGTCTCCTCGCCCCGGCCCGCAGCACCGTTACGAAGGACAAAAATCTTCCCGTTTCTCTTCCCATCTGACTTGCCCACCGTTCTTTCCCAAGTTTGACTGCCCTAAAACATTTACAGATCTAAAAAGCAGGGAGAAAAAAAATGTTCACCTGTCAGGTGATATAAAACCAATCTTCTACTAAATGTGCCAGAATAATTTTTCTCCACCTCAAGCACAGTTAAAACCTTCAGTCTATTCATTACTGTCTTTTTATAGTATTTTTATTTAATAAAACCTATTAAGACTACCATACAAATCTCTTTACTTATGCTTTTATCTTTTAACTGATCAATTTTTATATTGCTGACATCCCTTCTTCACCATTTGCTCATTTAAAAATTCATAGTATATGAGCTATGTCTCTGGAGAAAACGTCTATAAAATTTGTTACAGCTGGCAAATGTGTATGAGTCAGTGATAGCACATGACTAAATGCTTCACAGAAAATAAAATTTGTTTCTGTAGTAAGCAGAACTGTTTAAATGTTATTTATTTTTATGTTTCAAAGAAAATATATTGTGAAGTGCTGCATTGATTTAATACGCAACAATGTCTGTGTACACGCTGTACCAGGAAAATTTATGAAACCTTTGCACAACTCCTTTAATTGAATTTTCCAAATCTCTCACCACACACAAATAATCAATATCTTCTGCAGAGAAAACCAGTCAGAATTATTACAGTCTTTCTTTTCAATTTTGTTGTCATCAGCACATACAGAGCACCTGGATATTTGTAATGTCTGGATAGCAAGTTATTTACACCTCTTAAACATATAATTGCTACTAAGTGAGTCCAAACTGATGTTTCTTTTCTTTTTTATTTAAAATAATTATGTTCATGGGAGAAAGCAGTATTTATTCTCATGGAGGAGTTGCTCCATGTAGCTGTTCCAAGAACTACAATTCTTTTTAATTTTTCATTAAGCTGAATACTCGAAAGTCTAGATCCACTAGAATTAAAAATTAATAGCTATTGCATCAGTAAAAAGGTACACAGGAAAACAGAGCATAAACACGAGTGAGAAATCCATGAATAAATGGGGCCGACACCTAAATCTGAAGTGCAGGTTGGCAGTTCTGAACGCACGTGCGTGCGTCTGAGGCCTACAGTCACCCGTCTCACGTGCATTTCTGTATCTGCCACAACAGCTAATAGCTTAATATTTCATCTACATAGCCGAGGATGTTAAATCACTGCAGAGGTTTGTAATTTGCCCCCTTCCTTCCATCCCAAAAGCTTACCGTGTCAGCGACCTCAGACCCAGACGCTGCTCGGAGCTCAGGCTGTGTGTGACAACAGGCACTCCAAGGTGCAGGTACACCCCACAGACCCGCGGGGCTGAGCACAGCGCTGGTGGGTCCAGCAGAAACCTGTCCGCCAGCTCCTGAACCTTCCAGTAGCATTCATCCACAAGATTACTCACTTGTCCTAGGAAAATTACTCGCAGTGCACATTTTGGGTACCACAGAGTGGGTTTTGCTACCTCTTCTCGACGGCAGAGGACTTTGCAGTTACACGCTGAAAAAGGACCCGCTTGCGCAGGCCGCGAGAAGAGGCGCAGTCAAGTTTAGCCTGAGCAATGACAGCCCTTAATCCACACAACACAAATCCGAATGCAACAGGCCCCTTTCTCTAGCTGCCCCCAGAACAGAGTTTTCATGCCAGCGCAGGGGGGCAGAGCGACTGCTCTGGCTCTCTGCACGGGAACACACAAGGAAGTTCGGGCTGAACGAAACAGGTGAGGTGCACCAGGTCCTTGTGCGACACACTCGGCGCGGGCGTAGCGGTCAGTCAGTTCTGCTCAACGCTCTCCCGTTCACAAGTGTTCATGCTGAGGTACAAGCTGAACGCATAACCGAGATGAACTTGTCCCCACGTCCAAGCCCTGTGAGCAGAAGTACGGACAGAGCCTCCCGGCCTAGTCCCTTGGGAAGCCCCCACTGCGGTGGCCAAGAGTGCAAACTTGTCTCTTGGGTTAGGAACAGCGTGAACATCAGGAACGTTCACAGCTAAACTTAAGAGGGGTGAACGCGTTTGCCCGTGGGCTTAGCGGGATGAACAACACGGAAAGGAAAGTACTTCTTAATTTCACTGCAAGATGCAGCCTGAAAATACTTTTCTTCAACACTGCAAGTATTTGATCTTCTACAGCCCTCGCTCGTTTCTGCCCTGGCCAACAGACGGAGCCACGGACATGATTTATGTCCGTGCTTAGTTCTGGGGAAGCAAAGTATTAGTATAATTTGTAACAACCAGCTTCAGTAGCTTTCCCGTCTGGAACACTATCTTCACTCCCTGAAACCCTGAACCTATTAAATGTTCCTTTAAAATATGCGTATCGCAGCCTACACATTTATTCTCAGCACACAAAAAGCATGTTTCGGACTGCAACATACCAACTAGATTTCATCTCTTGGCAGCTGCTTTACAGTTTGCTTACATTCTATTAAAAAACATTTTGTTTACTGGAAATGCTAGTCATGGACAAACAATGATGCCATTTTTTTATGCTGGTCACACAAAATGATATACTGAGCCCTACATAATGCTGCCCATTGAGCAAGGAATGTTTTGTATTAAGTTGTTTTAAGTAGAGGTTGTTTATGTAAAGTAAATAAATTTCATGCCTCAGCATGTGATGATAATGTGACATTCCATCTGTATCAAGCCACAGAAGAGTCATAAGTTTTAGGTCTTAGGCATAACTAATTAAAAATAATTATGAAAAACCACATCCAAAACTAAAAGGCAAAGTAAAACATCTCCAAATGCTCTTCTTTCATCCCATTCTTCGCCCCTCCTACTACTGTACTGACTGCAAAATTGAATATATTCTTTATTAAAGCAAAATTGACACTGAAACTTCATAAAAATTGGTCCACACAAATTCCCAATTCTATTTTCCATCCTACTTTCCCAAAATATTTCTCATCTAACAAGACTGGGTATTTGTTTAACGTTAGGGACTAGTTTCTGGAGCAAAGACGGAGCCAGAAGTGTGTATCCTGGTGACCAAACGAACCCTGTCCCGACTAAACCCAGCACACCGCTGCAAAGCGGCGCAGGGAGGAAGCGGTGACTGTACCTCTGCACTGGCCCTCAGCCTTCGCCATCACCAGCCTCCGACAGGGGCTGTGACCGTGTGAACAGAAGGATACAGGGAGCTGTAAATCAGAAACAGCAGATGGCACAAATCAGCCAAATTCCTTAAAAAGCATGTTACTCCTTTCCATTTTGCAGGCATCTGCTGGAGCTGGGGAAACTTCAGTTTGATCAATTCTCCTTCCTGTAAGAGAATTCCCCACAGCAGACAGAACTCAGGCGTGTGGAAGAGCAGACACAACCCAGATCAGAGGTGTGGTATGAAGCTGCAGACAGAGCAGTAGAGATGCCATCACCGGATTTGATTCTGCTTTTGCTCCGTTTTAAGACCATGCATGAAGAGAGCAGAAATCTCAGAATATCAGGGTGAATATCTGTTGATTTTATTGGATATGAGAGAAGAAAACCAACCTTGTGTGTATCCCCCTGCCACCCTCCCAGCTAGACAAGGCACTGAAGTGGCTACGGGGGCCACACTATATTAAATGCCACCAGCTTCAAATATTTTCACAGCATTAGTTATGAAGAAACGCAATAGTTCGGATTTCAGAGTCCCCGGGAGTGTGCTAAATACCTCACAGTACATCTAAGGTGAAAGGTTTTGCTGCAAAGGCTGTGTGCTGCGTGGCTCATACACTGAAAATGTGGAAGGCAGGGAGGAGAGCGAGGACGAACAAGGATAACTGATACATGTGTATGCGAACGCCCCATGACCCGACTGCGCTTATTCCTACACCGTCCTCAAGGGCAAGACACTTTGATGGAGAAGTGCCCAATACAATTAAATAAAAATACATTCTGCCCCATGCTCTGCTCTGGTGAGACCCCTCCGGAGTGCTGCATCCAGCTGTGTAGCCCCAACATCAGAAGGATATTGACCGGTGAGAGCGAGTCCAGAGGAGGCCACAGAGATGCTCCGAGGGCTGGAGCCCCTCTGCCATGGGGACAGGCTGGGGGAGTTGGGCTTGTTCAGCCTGGAGAAGGGAAGGCTCCAGGGAGACCTTATTGCAGCCTTTCAGTACCTGAAGGGGCTACAAGGAAGCTGGGGGGGACTTTTTACAAGGGTCTGGAGTGACAGGACAAGGGGTAACGGGTTTAAATGGAAAGAGGGAGATTGAGATGGGACATCAGGAAGGAATTCTTCCCCGAGAGGGTGGGGAGCACTGGGACAGGTTGCCCAGAGATGTTGTGGATTCCTCATCCCTGGGAGTGTCCAAGGCCAGGCTGGATGAGGCTTGGAGCAACCTGGTCTAGTGGAAGGTGTCCCTGCCCATGGCAGGGGGGTTGGAACTAGATGATCTTTAAGGTCCCTTCCAACCCAAACCATTCAGTGATTCTATGAAAAGTTACATGTGAGCAGCGCCAAAGTTTTTGAAAGAAACACATTCGATTATAATCATTTTCACACACTAAAGGTTACCCAACTTATCTCAAGTGGAAAGAACTAAGAAGGAATCAACTAAAAGGAATCATCAAAGCACTTTACTCAGGAGTTACAGGAAGTTCTTACCTTGGGCAGGAAGTTCTCCATCGTTCTTTTTAAGCAGCTGCAGCCCTTCTGCTTGACTCACTAGTTGAAGAAATAAATCTGAAATCAGTAAATGTCGCCCAAGAGATTTCAAAGAAAATAATACCTATGCCACCTTCATCACTTTTGAAGCATCTGTAGTTTTCTTCAGGCGATGACAAACCTCCCCCCCTTATCTATGTAGCTGCTCGAAAAAAGAGCATCACAAAACCTTTTCAAAAGGAAGCGAATTTGGAGAAGGTGTGCTTAGCCTCACCCCCCCTCCTGTTGCCAGCACTGTGCTCTAGCGCTGAAGGGTGCTTTGTTCCCAATTCAGAACGGGGGAAAAGATGGCTCTTTCTCATTCTGCAAGCAGCAAGAAGCTAACAAAGGGCGAGGTAACCGAAAACGTCAGCAAGAGGTCTGACGCGCCAGTTGCAACCTTCTCCTGGCTGCAGCCTTACTGCCCTATCCCCAGCGCGGGGCAGCAGTGCAACCGCAGCGTGTTTTCAGAAAACTTCATCTTGGGCAAGAAAGCACCTGCTTCTCCACATCACAGTGGGAACTAGTACATGCAAAAAGAAACCCCCCAATGAGTCAGGAAAGAAATGGTAATTTTAACAACAGTAGCTGCTGGAATTGCGTGGTGGTGTACAAATTCCAGAGCTGGGGCACATGCACCTAGTGCATCAGCAGAGTCCCAGTGCTCCTTGGTAGGAAACATTCTCCAGCACCTGTGGCTTTACTGCCCGCTTGCTTCCAGCTGTGCACAAAGCAGCAGCCCTAGTCACCCCAGGTTTTGCCCTCTTACAGCTACTTCCAGCGTTTTTACACTCGGCAGCAAACAGAGCAACCAGATGGGTTGTAGAATAATGCATATGGGCAAAATGTTGTGCATGCAGCTGTTAAGAAACCGGTTTCTCTTCTTCATATGATTGCTCAGGGACTGGACGCGGGGAATATGTACAGGCATATATTATTCATATTGCTTGCCCAGTGGAATCTGGACTATCAGAGGTCGGTATGAGAAGGCTACAACAACGTTACGTAGTGGTGGGTAAATGCAGCCTGAGACACACACCTGTACAGAGAAAAGGGGTTGCTATTGTGAAAACAAAGGAACACGCTGGTCTGAGGAATAAAGATTAGGGCTGTTTGGGTGCCTACAGCTACCTTTCACCACTTTTAACTCCTGCAGGAATGATCTGGTAAGGTAGGTCTTTATTTCTTCGTCCTGAGAGCGAACAGATTTTTTCCCCTGCTATTATCCATAACAAGTTTTTTGCTTTAGAATTTACTCATCACATACTCCCCTTCTACTTGCAGAGGCATTTGGGAAGAGAAGTATGAATGCACTTCTCGCTGCTGAGGATTCCCATGTCCCAAGAACCTCTGACTTGGAGTAAAGATAAAAAGTTTCCTAAAAATGGACCCGTATAAATGAAAATCTTTGGCTTTCTGAGTTCCTTTGGAGAGGTATTGCAGATGTGCCACCTGCAAAGTGCCCTTATCCCAACACAATAAGCATCTGGTATGTCCATCATTTAAAGACACATGAATAGCAATTTTTAAAGCCTGGAAACCTATATTCAGCCTAATCCTCCTAACAGGCAAACAAACAAAACTACTTCCTTGCAAAAAGAGAAGAAGGGCAATGCAATCAAAGTGCAAACGTTTAGCCTAATCACTAGCTAACTACCCACTAAGTATCTAACTATTTACATGAGAAAAGGTGTTGCTCTTGCAAGTTTTTCCTCCCCATCTGTGCCCAGGAGTGGAGTTAGAAGAGCGGCCGTTGGGGTTGCCTTGCTTTTATGTCCCTGCTTGGATGCGCGAGGACATTTAAGGTGCCCAAAAGAACTTAGTGTCAGAGTCCCATGGTAGCACACAGAGAGGGGGACGACTCCAGGAAACGTTTGGAGCGATCACTGTTAAAGGGGATAAAGATTATTGAAAATCCTCCTTACTTAGCGCTTGGGTTTTCCGCATTTCAGCACTCAAGGCGCAAGACAAGTCCGAGACCCCGATAACATTTTCAAGCTCTCTACTGCCCTCTAAAGCCTAGACAAAAAAACAGAATTAAAGACATTGTTAAATCCCATTCCCAGGCAGTCTAGGGGGAGGTCTACAGCTTACTAAAAACATCTGAAAGACACAACTTTTGGAAATTTTTCATAAGCCCGAAATGATGCCCGAGACTGCACCTCACCGAAAGTCAAGGGGGCCGAAGGGTGTGAGAACACTCACTACTCCTCCAAACGGCACTCAGGTGCCTTGGGAAGTGTTACTTAAAAATCTCCTGTTATTTACGCTTCATTCGTAAGTCTTCAGCTGTTGAAACAGATTAACACTTGATCCCCAGAAAAGCAATCTTGGCACACGAGCAGGCTTGCTATAATAGGTCAGTAAAACAAAAATCCACAAGCATTTACAGTTCTGTTGAACACACTCCTGGGCATTTCGTGGTAGAGCTCAACCATACCCTATCGATCTCAGGAGAAACAGAAAGGATTTGTTGATAGTTTTATAAATAAACATTTCAATTAAAATATTTTCAGTTAGTCTTTTTTGTAAATAAAACATTGTCAGACCACACGCGCAAGTAAAATAAACGCAGACAATACTTGGAGTACGCTGAACTATTTCTCAGCTGTCGATACACAGCAACAAACCTTGTGCTAAATTTCTTCAGGAAACAAAATGTGAATAAAAAGAAAAGTGATTTGCATTTTAGTATGTATTAAACGGACTATTAAATGATGACATATTAGCGGTAAATTAAATAGTACAATCACTTCAACACAAAGGGATACTTAATCTTCAAGGACATAAAAATCTATGCAGTAATAATTCATACCTCAAGTTATAAATAATAGTTGAGAAGTACTTCATATGCTTTTATTCGTGTACAAAATGAGGAGTGATTCAAATTAGAAATGGTGTACTTGGAAAAGCAACTCCTCTAGTTAAAAAAAAAAAATAATTACTAGGTTCTGGGTTTTGGGTTTTTGTTCCATTTGCTGGATTTCCAAGTCAAACCTGCCTGGTTTCAAGTATTTTACTTGCATCTCTATTCCTTAAAACTCAAATGTTGCACATAAGATTTTCACTTTTATTTCAAATCCTATATTGAAAGTAGATTAGGAAATATAAATCAGTGTAAAGCAGACCTGTAGGCTTGTCAGATTTGCTCTTGTTTTCAGAATTCTAACCAATGAACTGTTCACTTTGGACTGCAATTCCAGGAACCTGCATAAAAAGTTAAAATAAAACAGTTTCAATTAGCCACATCGCCACTTGCTGAAAATCGGCGTTTGCAGGGTTTCCTGGAGGTTCTTCATGCTGTGATCAGGATGGACATAGATAAGCTGCAAACAGATGGGCTGTGCAACCAGACTGCGTCCGATCGCACCAAACATAACTTACCTTTGGTTAGGATTTATATGCAGACTGCCAAAAATACAGATATCCTAATTTTAAGGACAGGAATATCAGCGATATTAGAGAATTTTCTTATTATCGTGTGGGAAGACAATGGTAAAAACAGGAATTTAATCAAGAGGATGAGCTGCCCAAACCCACGGGCTGTTAAGGCCATACGCCACTGCCTGTGCTTTCCATAGGGAACACGAGGGTTAAATCCGAGCCCAGCAGGGACAACAGCACGGGATGTTACTTGTTCAGCTTTGTTGTACTCTCTCCCCTTTTAAGGCATAAACACACTTTACTATGAGTGTGAAGATGGTCAGCTTTCAGAGTTCAATGGGTTTGCACTAAAAATTAAAATAATATACAATCTGATTAGATCTAAACCACAGGCTTTAATGCATGATTAAGGATTTGCACTGAATATGCACTGACAAAAGTCCTGCAATGAATGTTTAGGCTATTTTCTCGTTGAACCATTGAAACATGCAAATTAAATGGAGACACCAGAGAAATAATCCATTTACCACTTTCTCCCACAGAAGGGAGAATCACCCTTATAAGAAACCTCAAATTTAGAGACAGACCTACAACCTCATCACTGCTGTATGCCAAGAGGGGGGGAGAAGGCGCTAATGTCAATGTGTCGTACAGTATACGTTCCCCCTATAAAAATAAAGTGCATGGAAGTTCACCTAAGTATTACCAGTAGGTGTAACTTTATAAATGTGTTTTACTGGCCTGTCCTTAACTGCTAGCCTCCCACATACCTTGCCATTTGTAAAAACCATACTGAACCATTAAATGCAAACATTTACATGTCAGTGAAGACAGTGAATACAGAACAGTGACATTACACAGAATGATCAAAAACATATAACACTGTAGAGGAGAGAAGAAGAGATGTGATCTAGCCATACTGATGCTGAGCTGTGAATTAGATTTGCTCAGACAGATGTCAAAGATACATGTCAAGATTGCACCAGAGGACAAGCTGAAGCACCACCTAAAAAGGCAGGACAACACAACAGGATTGTAAGACTTCAAGAAGAAAAATGTAGGCAGTGTTGAAGAAAGAGAACAAAGAGGTTTTTTTTTTTAGAAATTCTGCTAATAAGAGATCACAAGAGTCTCTGGCGAATGCAAGTTCAGTTGAGTGGAAAGGCTGGAAATGGGTGGAGGAGTAACTAGGAACACAGTGTATTAGTGGCAAAAGGTATGAGGAAGGAAACTTTCAGATTTTTAGCTAAATTAAAACTTAACCTCTAAGCAGTTTTACTGAGCATACACAACTTCCGTATTAAAAATACTCGTAACTCCAGGATTTCTGAATTGGGTGACTTCCCATGAGGATGAAAGGCATCCCCAATACAATCCAACATACAAAGACTCACAGCTTTCCACTTTTTCACCGAGTTCTATCATAGATGAAGCAAATATTTCCTTTGTCTAACTGAGGGAAGGATGGGTTTGTTTTGGCTGATGGACATAACACATTGAGCCTGACGCACTGTTGACACAGAAATTTCAGTTCACTTAATTGAGATTCGGCAATGTTAGAAACAATGAAATGTTCTTCGTAAGAGAAAAGATGAAGCCATACTCACAACACGAGACACCAGCAGCCTTACTCCTAACACATTTTATCACTTCTCCTTCCTGACATCTATCAAATTTAGGGAAGCAGTTTATCAGATACTTCACCTGAAACAGCTATTTAAGCGCTTTGCTAACTGTGGATTGTCCAAAGCCCATTAATGTCAGGAAGCTTATAGCTTACAATAAAATTGTGGCAGAAAAGACAGGAATTTTAGAAGATTTTGCAAAGCAAACAGGAAGTTTGACCACGACCATCTGCGGCTCGTTTTAACCAAAAAGTGTCCTGCATTACTGGCCCTGTACCTTTGGCAAATATGCTTCCAAATATAAGGTGAAGAATGTACACTTTCAGACGAGTCTGGAAAGGCAAAACATACCTTCCTTTTAGTAGTTTAATTACAATACTTCATTGTGCAGTGTCTCCTGTAATTGGCAGTGTCATATGTCCCAGACTAGTGAAAACCAGAACTGGGTGGACAGTTGTATTGCAAACCCCACATTAATCTGTACCTATAACTGCAAGCCTGCCATTTGGTGACTCTGAATATCCAATCCTGCGGAATTACAAGTATTAAAAATAATCACTATTAATTTAATTCTGGATGAAATAGTAACCTCTTGTAAGTGAAAATCACGGCACTGCACCCACAAGAAATTAACACACTTACCCACGCTCCTGTGTTTGAGGCTGCCCTCTCCTGGATAATTTGCTTTCTGACTGGTTCCACTCAGTTCCATCTCCTAGGAGGTTCACAGGAAAGAAAAGGAACAATAAAGATGAAAAGAAGATATCAAGTATTCAAAGCACATGAAAAGGGTGTTAGTATGAACCCTGACTGCTGAATCATCTTTTAGGAAAATGAAAAAAAAAACCCCAAAACTCACAAAGCAGGACAGAATCCCTTGTAATGACACACAATAATTTCACTGTAATTTACTCTGCCGTAATTTGGCCTCTCATCAATTCACATTTGTGCAAACCTTTGGATTATAGTATTAACAACTGGAAGTTAGTATAATTCTGACAGATTTCTGTGTTCTACTCGGCAGCTTTTAATCCTACTAACTGCCTAATAATATAGGATATTAACACAGAGCATTATAATGAAAATACTGTAATGACAGAGCAATTAAACCTCCATTGTCTCTTAATAAAAAGTGCCTGGTTCCCAACTCCATCTTGTAAACAACTACAAAAAGATACCGCAAATTACTTCCACAGGCTCGGATGTGCTGTGCTGACAACATCATATTCTGGCTCGTCATATGATGGGGCACGATAAATCATATGCCGGTTGCCATTATTCTGCGCAGCGATCCATAGTTCTGCAATTCAGCGCACTGGTATTTTGAGCAGTTTTATGTTTTTGTGAGGGAACAGGAATGGGGTATTAGCACAAGAGCTGGTTGATAAAATCTAGGCTCACGTGCGGTGTTGGTAAACTGGTGACTGCCTTTCTGTCACTGTAGGTTGGGCACTTAAATGACCAGATTCCAAGCAAAGCAGGTAGACAGGGGGATGTTTTCACTGATGCTGGTCAGATTAAGAAAGTTAGTGCTGCACTGAAATAACAACCTTGGTCCACTGGCTGCTATCTCCTTGAGACTGTTCAACAGCTGCTTACAAAGGCCTCACCATGGGTATCGTTATGTGTAACAACACACCTCTGATCACAAAACACTTCCTGAGTTTACATCTATTTACAGTTTATCACAACCTATACAGTTCAGACAGAAACCATATTAGGACAAAACCAGATTAAAATTTCATCTTGTGTATCAATTACCATTGCTTTTGAAGTCCGTACATTATCTTGTCCATTTTACTCGCCCTCCAATTAGCACATCAGGACGGTGCTGGACTAGCAGAAAAAACTAATGCTTAAAAAATAGTCCATACAGTCACTTCTGATAGGATGCCCCAGTAGCAGCCTTTGGTGAATCTACTGAAACTAATGAGGCCACAGGTACTCATGGTCCTGTGCTCCACACAATCTACACGGTCACCTTTCAACACCTTAAGTGTTGTATCTGTCTAGATTCCCACGGTAAAGAGGCCACATCTGAGCAGTGGAAATGACTTCTCTTTAGTGGTGGCCAAAGTTGAAGCCATCACGTAATGTGGAGTTTTTGCAATTTCCACTTAAAGGATTTTCCGCCTCAGCAATATCAGTCACACGCTCACTCTCTCATTTTCTACTACAATGTAAAAACTCCCTTTTCCGGATACTGTTCTGTTCTCCTCTGCAGCGGGTTTCTTTTGGACCTGATACTTATTAAAGACGGAACACTGGAGGTGTATGCACGCGTACGAAGGGGGAGAGGAATAATTCGTGCACTCATTCTTTTATTCTCAACAGTTTTCCTCTTAAACAAGGAGATCATTAATGCATTTGACAATTAATGACACAGAACTGAATACCAGTAATTCAGCTTCAGAGTTCACTGTACTCCTAGCCAATCAGACTACACTCATCTATCCAAAACCCAAGAAAGATCTTTTTTTCTGGTGCCAAAGAAGTTCACAGGGTGTTTTAAATTACTTCTTACCTACTGTCCCTCCAACAGATACATACACATTCTTACAAATGCTTCATCTTGCAAAGCTATTATTGTAAGGTTACATGCATCTTTAAGGGAAAAATTCGGACGAAACTACAACAGGTCTTTACCGTGGCCTTAACAAGCACGTTGGTTCGAGAACAGACCCCTGGAATGAGGTGCTTTTCACATTTCACTGATACGTCTCCTTTCTGACATCGGATTAAAAAAAAGAGAGGCCACACTAAGCATTAAACACTTTGATTTCTTCTTGCTGGATCTAAATTATTACATAAAAGTATCAGCACTCAAGGATAAATTAACTTTTAATTTTAATATTGTGTAAAACATTTAGAAATACGTCAGAATGACAAGGTGCTATAAAAGTTTAAGCTGTTCCACTATAGTAGCTAAAGGTTAAGACCCCAAAAGATTTAATTTTAAATCTAAATACTCATAGAGCTTGCAGTGACATCAGTCATCAATTATCAAACAGATACTACTTTTAGGCCAGTACTATGGAATGGCAGAACCCTGGATTGATTCAAATAAAAATACATCAATCTAAAATAAATCTTAGAAGTATGCTAGCCAACAATGATGAGAAACTAGTGAAGATTCAGTATTCTAGAAATTTATGTCATAAATGGGTTGTGAGATTTTGGGTAGTTAGGCAATATACTAATTATCAGGCAACCCAACAGGACATATATTGGGCAATGTCTTGAAGACACACTTATCTTATCACTGGGTTGGTTCATGTCTTCTCCTAAAATAAGCGTGTGTTACTGTTGAACAATCTCAGCACTCTGTAGGTATTTAGCCTTTTTTGAGGCACCCTCCACACTTACTGAGAAGAAAGTCATGTTCAGAAGACAAGCAATTTCCACCTGTCTCCTCAGCAACTCCATGCAACTACTATTTGTGTACTTGGCACAAGGCAAAATAGGTTTTCATAGCTAATGGCATTAATTTTGTAATAATTTTCATTCTCTTGTTTTACATAAGGGTCACAGAAAAACAGAATATACATTATACTCTAACACCTCACAGGTGATATACGTAATCTATTAAAACACTACAACACTTAAAAGTGTCTTTTCAGAAGGAGGAGAGAAATTGTGGGTTTAAAAGGACAACCTGAAACCTGTGATATAAGAGGAAGTCTTATATACCACCACCTTATAGCTATATGAACACAGGGAAAAAAAAAGATGGTTAGTACTACATTACTGAGTAATTACCCACCTAAATGTCAGCTATGATCACATGATCAGTTTTTTATAGGCAAAAAGAATGTTCCCTCATGTCCACACTTAATATCAGTATGGAAATACAGTACATGTTCACCTTTCCCACGGACATCCTAACGGACAATTATTTTTCTACTACTTCTGGGGGGAAATGCCCAACTCAAAAGCATGGGACTAACGGGGAAAGGCGGTTATTCTGGGAGGGCTGGAATCAGCAGAGAACGTGGTAGGAAAGTTGTGAATCTTCCAACTGGCCGTGAGTGCTCATGGAAAACTCAGTTGTGTTTATGCTGCTTGACAAACAGGTAAGGAGGACAGAAAGCCAGGTTGTAAGGAAGACTGGCAGCACAATAAAGAGTTAAGATATGGCTGCTTCTGTTTAGTTTCCTAGCATGACCAATAGTTAGAAAAACAACCCCAAACCAAACCCTGCACACAGGCCTGTAACTATCCATAGCTCTACTGCCACCAAAACAGCCGGTACTTCCATGCTTCCTCAAGCGCTCTCCTAGTTTTAATGTGGAAAAGGGATGTAATGCTCACGGCCTGTAGTATTTTCCGCTGGCAGTAATTTCATTTTTAGTTCAGGCAGTTTTGACAAAATCCTAGAATTTCATGATCACATGCCTTTAAAACAAACAAAAAAAATTCCCTTTTTTTCCTGGAGGAAAAATCCACTTTTGCAGATCCGTCAGGAGAACATATGGTGCAATAGCTAGTGCAAAAATCTGCAGACATCTAGATAAATTTCAAACAGTGCTTATTCTATCCTGCTCAGAATATTTCTACTCATCATAATTCATGAATGTTAGTGAGGCCTCAATTACCGCACATAAATTCCAAAATATATGGGGCATAAAAAGCTCTTTAACCCAACAAAAAGGCATAACAAGAACTGATGGCTGAAAATTAAAGCCAGACAAATTCAAAATCAGACAAGATAGAGTTTTTTTAATAGTGAAGGTAATTGAACAAGGAACTTCCTAACAAAGGAAGGGATGGATTTTTATTGTTATTATTTTTTAAATTTGTTGAAGTCTTCAAATCAAGACTTAACCATGTTTCTAGGAGCTGTACTGCAAGGAGATAAAGGCTCTTGAGCTCTCTATATGGAAAAATGACAAGAAAGTCCCTTTGTATATTTTTAATGAATACAAAAAAGTCACACCAGGTGGTCTAATGGTTCCTTCACCCTGAAAAAGACCACAACCTATATAGGCATAAAAGCAGGCTAGTCTACTGAAAATACACATCTTGAGCAGTCACAGTTGTCTGCATCAAAAACTGACTGTGTAACTAGGTGACCATACACCCTAAAGTGAACTGGAAATAATATAATTATAAAAAGACATATTTTCTGAGAGCAAATGACATTCATTGTTATGTTAGTTTAATTAAAAATTGCCCTGAAGTGCCATACTATGAAAAACAAGAGTAAATAATTACATAAAGAATGCAAAGCAGAAGAGTTAAACTGACTGAACTTCCCTTTTAGTTTTGATTTGATAAAATCTACGTAACTTTCAATATTCACAGAGAAAGGCCCAGAGCTGAGAAACGCTGTATGTATGTATGTACACATACATTTACCACTGGAAACCTGGCAGTATATAAACTGGGACTTGCACGGCAAATCTCAACACAGGTCTCAAAAGGCCACAAAATTAAACATGCATCGACTGCACATATCGTTCCTTTCCAGCTCTCTGGACCACAAGAGAGTCCAGACCTCAGGAGTGCAATAATGTAGAGTAGCAGACAGCAACCTCAGAACATCTCCCTGTATGCTCCAAAGAGGAACACAGTCACTGGCAGTAGCACATACCAGTTCTGCCGATGAAAGCTGGGTCTTGGCAAGAAAGCAAATAAAGGACATTGCTAGTGTAAACATAGAATTAGTGGAATTATTGACAAAAATGGCAGTGCATTTTTCTATGCTGAGCCAAAGTTAAACGTTTTTAATATTGATCAACAGAAAGCAAAACTTGTTTCATAACAAGTTGTTTCATAAACACCCCCAAGATTTATACCAAAAAGATTCAAGCTTTGAAAATCAGCAGCAGCTTTTCCAAAGAGTTCTTTAAGAGGGAAAGAAATCAAACATACCACATGAGAGCTAAATCAAGCCAGTAACCAGAAAAATGTTGCAGTGAGAAAGACAGAATGTTCAACTAACCATTTGATGGGTGATTTCTGAGATTTTGTGCATTATGACTCGTGGGAGATGAAAATGGACTCATTTGGCATGTTCCCGTTGTCGGTGAGTAACAGTTTAGATTTTTCCTGGTGGTCTTCAAAGGTGTTGCATCAGATGGCTAAAAGGTAACAAAAGACAAAGAATCTAGATGAATATTGGCTAAGGAAGTATCTACGTCCAGCTAAACATACAACAGTTGTACACTTCTCTTCTGCAAACTACATTCTGGGCTCTACCTTTCCTGCCCGCAGTTACGTATCGCACCCCAAACCAGACAAAGCCTCTCCCAACAGTAACCATCTGGCAATAGACTTCCCTAAGTAATTCCTAACTTTCTGTACTCCCAGTTATGGAAAGCCCACGTTACGTGTTGCGGAGGGTTGACCTTGGCTGGCTGCCAGGTGCTCATCAAGATGCTCTATCACTCCCTCTCCTCATTAACATTAGTTTTACTCAAAAAAAGAGAGCCCTTCTAACACTAGTCTCCCTGTTTTCAGGAACAAATGTATGTAGTTTCCACAGATTTAGGCATTCTGCCATGAACACCTTGGTTTTTTGTTTGTTTTGTGAGGCTTTATTTATTTATTAAAGCACTCAAAACCTAGTATTATTTTTTCTACAGTATTGAGAATTTAAGACACATGAATGACAAGCAAGTATTTTTAGATTCTCTTTCTATCAAAAGATTATTTCTAATAATTCTCTAAACAAGTGTTAATTTAAAAAAAATCCCAAAAACGAGTGAGTCCCTTAAATCCAAAATCTTGTCTCTGGCTCAGGTTTCCAGTCAGTCACAATATAAAAGCAATTATTTAATGATGTTAAAGGCACTGGGCACAGAAGTTTTCAGAAGAACTAGTCTGCGATTGGGAAGTGTTAACTGGGATTATCTGGGGCACTGTTTGCTCTCTGGATAGGATGCTGACTTGCAACTCTGAGAAACTGGGATTTTTTGTAGTTTAGTGATTTTTGTTTTTCCTCTTGGAAACATAATGTCATCAAAGTAAATCCCACAGTAAAACAAAATAAGTGATGTCTTGATTTTTTAAATTTTGTTACGATCCTGGGTCTTTAAAACAAAGGAAAACTCATCTACTTCCCAAACAACTAGCCTTTTCTACCAACTTGAGCATCATTCCACCCATAAAACTGAGCACCTATAGTTCTTTCCTGCTCTTCACTACTGAACTCCTATTAAAACATCCCGATCTTTTAATCTCCTTCATTTGAAGGCATTTCTTGTGCCACGCATACCACAGCCTATGTTCACACTTACTTTCTTTCACAGAATGCTATCACTTCAAAGTATAATTTTGGCAATTATATTTCAAAACAGAGCGACAGTACATTCAATTCTAATTCAGGTGAAGAGAAAATACTGATTTATGTAAGAGCATTACACTTCCCGTGCTCTGTGCTTTTCTATTTCTGATATATCTTACTGCACTTTCACACAAAGCTGCAGTTTTGATGTTTTTCTTCTCATAGTCTGCCTTGAGTGATAACCCTTAGTTTAAAACCTCACAGTCTTAGCACTGGTCATCAGTAATATGATTTACACTGTATTTCAAAAGATTTAATTTGCTGCCCACTTACCTCGCTTTCTTATAGCTCCTGGAAATTACTTGTCATGTTTTAGTCTTGAATACCCTAAATAATTTTGCCTCAGCTGTTTATACTCATTTTACAGTCTGTCGGTATTTAAACAATACCTGATGGAAATTGTCAGTCTGTTGTCACTAATTCAAACAGATTAAGGAAATATTTCAAATCATCTTTCAATGAAACATTAATTACAGTGAAGTATCAGTGCCCCTTTAGGGCACCAAATCTCTTTTGCACAGGGAGAATTTCCAAGCTGCTTACACTTTCAGGGTATTTTTCCTGCTGGAACAGCAGTCACCTCAGCTACCGTATTTCTGGATACAAACTATGACTCCTTTGAGCAGCTACCATGAAAAAGTTACTGTAGTATTTAAAAGGACAGTATTTGACAGAATTTCTCCTACAGGAAGAAGATCCTTAGTTCAATTATGCAATTTTTAATGATGCCATGCTGACATCACAAAATTTAAAATACTCATTTCTGATCTGGTTTGTTCAGGCATGCTCTGGGTAGTCTGACCAGCCAGTGGAATGAGTGCCTCCTGAATAACAGGAAAGGAACTGGAGAAACAGCAATGGATGAGCCAGGGCTAAAACATACGTTGCACAAACCGTGTGTGTTTATTACCTTACATTCCTTCCACAACGTTAGTTAATTATGGTACACTTTAAATCTTTGACATGTATCTGTTAGAGGCATCATATGAACTAAAAATCATAGCGTAAACCTACATTCCTGAGATTCCAGTGAAAGTGTTTATCATCCAGATGGGTTTTTGTTAAGCTTCTTGCTGCACAAGAACCTGAAAGCAGGTAACCATCAAGTAACTCTGTCTTTTATCTTATGGGGAGGGGGTAGGGAAGGAACAGCTTTAAGGCAGAAAAAGAATTGTATGTAATTTCAGCTGGACCACTCATCTACAAAAACGTTGCTACAGCCCAAGAAACAGATGCAAAATTACAGTCACAGCTGCATTCTGAGCAGAACAAGTTGGGTAATGGTACACTAAGCTGCTAATTAAATCGCTAATGATTTTTTTTAGTGCCACTGCGGTATTCTGCCACCTTTGTTTAAATTAAAATAAAAAAAGTATCTAGAAAATTTTTACAACTGCAATTTTCTATTTTGGTAAATACCAGTGAGACCTCCAAATATGTGCTGCGCACCAACAATCTCTTCAAAATGGCCCAGACGTGGAGATTTACTGGCAGCTCATTTGCTGGCCAGCTATTTCTCTTTGTACACTTTTCCAAAATTTTCCTTCCCTTAACACTCCCATCCTCACAAGCTCCTCTGTACTGATGCCTGCAGCAACACCCACCGTTGGTAGGAGCAGATAATAAACTGACATATGTCATGACATGCTGGTACGGGGAGTATACGATAGCTGCATTTACAAAAAATAATAGCAACAGTACAATTTTATTTTTATTGTGATAACTGTGGTGAAATTTACTGCAGTGTTAGTACTTTATTGTTTCATTACGCCAGATTAGCTGAGGGAGGTAATTATATCCTTGACATGAAAATGCCCTTAATGTTTTCATTTCAATTTTGCAGTTTATAATATGCAGATTACAGCATTATCATAATTCCATATTGTTACACGTACAATTACATGGCAGAACATTTGCTTCCAGGATAATGGAGCTAATCTCTAATAAATGACTTCACCAAGGATCTTAACTCATTCAGCTCTTGGGTAAATAGCAATGGCAATAAATATATGCCTAGTTCTCCATTATTTTCAAGTGATCCGTGCAGATGTATATTACTTAAAGCCAGGGAGTTCTATGACAAATGGAAGACAATAAATTTTATACTAACATTTTTCAGCAGTAATTTTGTACCTTAAGATATTTCTAGACAACAGCCAATCTGTAACAATATAAATGCAACTCTAAGAAAATATCATGTTTATATACACATGTATGTATGCATTTAGACATATATACACACATACATACATACATACGCAGCCCAGATTCCATACACCAACAAATACTTACTTTATCTTTTTTAATGGGGTCCAAGTTTAATGCTCTTTTAACTCTGCAAGAGAAAAATATGGACAAGTTTTATGGTCATCTAGACACCAAGATTTCTGGTAGTAAGGTCTGTAATCTGTAATTTTAAAGGCATTTTCCTTTCTTGTGTTTCACATTTTTTTATACTACACAAGAAAACTAATCTCATCCAAAGCAAATCCATTAACTGATGAAAATACTATGTACCAAAAACGTTGCTTGTTTAGAAGGATGAAGTGTTTACATAAGAAAATCCAATTCTCCATTTTATACTCGAGATAAAAATCAAGACATTGAAGTGAAATCACTCTATTTGTCTCTTTCTCAGAGACTATAAACAATGGAAAAAGGCACAAGCATTACCATTTACACACCTTCCGAGCAAGGGTTGAAATTATTTTGCCATTAGTAGAAATAAAGTATTAGGCATTTAAAACACAGGTACAGCCAAGGTGAAAAAAGTACTTCTTCCCATCATTTTAGCTCTTAACATGATTCAGTGCTACCAGACTATGACTTAACCGGGGAACAGATGCTCTATGTCTTTACAGGTCCCCAAACCATAAGAAGCTATTTTCTAGTCTTCTTCACTATACTGATTCAGGAACATGCCAAGCTCTCTCTGCAAAATCTGCTCTGCTGAACTGGATGCCCAGCTGTTAATGGCAACGCTAGAAGAGGAAAGCTGAATATTTATAATACTTTATATCGTACAGCTGTCTTCTAAAGAGCAGTCATCAAAATTTTATTGAATGCAGACTAAATGCTCAAAGGAAAGAAAGGTCAACATAAATTAAGACTATTTTTCCCAGAGACAACTGAAACTTTTTAAGCACATTTCTAAATCTTAACAATAGTTTAAAGCATTTTATGAAACAATGTGGAAAAAAATTAAAATCTTTCTAAGAACAGTCCCCAAAAAACATGTATCTTATAGCAAATTAAACTAGATTTAGAAAATGCATCGTATTTCAAGAACTTAGTTCACAGTTTTCATCTTGGACAAGAACGTTTTGACTTGTAAGGAATTAAGATGACCTCATTCCAAACACATCATCTTTAAATTTATGTTATTATTCCAAAACTGTAAATTAGAGCATTGGAAAAATAGAATGAAAACATATCTTTGAAATATAACTCAGGTAATGGTCTTACAAATACTGTTTTACAACTATCTCTATTACAAGAAGGGGAAGAGAAGTATTCTGCCTTAAAAAAGACAAGTAAACAGGTAATATTTAAATTAAAAAAGTGTGTGAAATTCTTGCCAAAGGGCAGTCAAAGCTGTAACAGTTTGATGGAATCCTTTACAATGTATTTCTTTTTTAAATAGAAAACCGTATTGCTTAAGGAATGCAGACTCCATTACACCTTCCACCCCAGTGGCAGCGGAGAAACATTCTATTTATTAATACATCTACTCTGAAAGGATGCTCTAGGGGCCAATGCATTTGCATGTTACGCTATGGCTTGTTCTGATGGAAGTTTTTATGATGGACTTCAAAAGAAGCTGGAAGCCAAAGTAAAGCAGAACCCGGACTCAACATAGCTGTAGCATGAAGATAAATGAGAAACTACATGAAAATCCCACTAAATTATAAACATTTAGAAAACTTCTTAGAGAGGAAGTTGTGGACTGGTCCAGACTATGTTCTTTAAAGTCTGTCAAGTACTATATGCAGCAATAGAGTAGCAGGCAGCCCAAATTTCTTTCTGCTGGCCTGCGAAACCCCTGCAAACACCCAGAGCTACGGCGGCGAAGGGGCAGCAGCATTCCAGGCAGGCACTTCAATGCTGGAAGGAGCTGCATGGATACAACTTTGGCTTCAGGAGGCCAGCTTTGCCTCATTTTTCCCATTGCATCCTACCCAGCAGCCTGGCTTGCTTGTGGGCTTTCTAGTGATTGTCTTTCTGATGCCAGAACGTGAGAAGGTAAACCCGTGGCAACTGTGATTCACTCCAAATAGGTTACAATTCGTATTCTTAGTCTACACACAGTCCCTGGCTGGGACCACGGAAACAAAATTCATCCAGACGCCTAACATGAAAACCCAGTTGGTCCAAGTGTCTTCTCTGAGATCTTTCGAAAGATGAACATGGAAAAGACCCAATACATGCACCTAGGTGCAAATAAAATTCCTGAAGTATTTTAGGATACACCATGGAGGAGAAGCACCAGCTTTAGTTTGGGTTATCTTTTTTGTACAACTGGAAAGCCTCGCTGTGGCCACAGAGCAGAATCAATTGTCAAAGTGTGAACAAGAAAAGGAGGTAGAAAGATGAGACATACGTGATGACAGTACACAACTTCCCTTGAATTGGTTCAAAATTCCCTGACAAGGCTTACGTTATTTTCTTAACTCTGCAGAGCACGGTGGCACATGTTTATAGCTACCTGCACAACCTGCAATGATTATTTTGCCCATAATATTTATCACGTTAAAGTATTACATATTACTTCTATAGTGTATTGTTCACCTCTCATTCCAGGTCATCCTGGCAGTTCCTTGCTAATGCTGGGAGACCTTTACTCACCTGAAGAGTGCTTTGATGAAATCACTTATATGAGGAACTGCTTATCAGTGAGAGTCTAGGTATGCAATTTAACTTTCTGTAGAAATGGATTTTTATATTGGTTTTAATTCCACATACATTTAACTTCTTCACACTTCACTTATGACTGAATGCAATGCTAACAGTCACATACAGACTTAATGCACAAAACCCCCATATAGAATCAGGGACTTGATTGTGTTATTTCATTAAAAATACCCTAGAGAGTATTGTAGTGTATTTTAAGGCCCTTTCAGTTAGCTTGCTCTTATGTTTCTGCTTTAACTTGGGAAAAAAAATCTCCACCACGATGCTACTTACATATTACTTCATCTTCAGAGCCTGTCAGCAAATATGTCTTATTAAGTGGAAAAGCAGAAAGAATAGGTGATAATTTTCTATGTTCTGCTTAAATGGGAGTGAAACTCTGTGAGAAATAGACTTAAACACCAACAAATCAAAGCTTGTGTACTGGTAAGGTTCCTTTGCATTACTACTATCTGGTGTGACTACTTCAACTCTCAGTGGTTTCCTTTGCATTACTACTATCTATCCGGTGTGACTACTTCAACTCTCAGTGGTCAAGAGAAAGACTAGCACAAGTTGAAACCCACGTTAGCACTAACATACATGATCTTTGAAACTGGGTAAGGAGCTGTAAACTGGGACAATATCCCAAGTCTACATATATATACAGGTATCCTAAGTCTTAGGGCCTCATCTTGCTGCTGTTGAAGTTAGCAACACCCTACACATTTTCTTCATTGTTCAGAGGCCCACGATGAGCAAAGATACACTGAATAGCGTCAGACTTACATGACTACTGCTCGATAAACTGTAAAGAACAGGAGAAATACGAATGGGATTTATACCCATCAGAGATAATACGAAGGGACACAGCCTGATGGCAAACGGCCACGGAGCGCGCCATGCCCTCATCACCGCGGGCCTGCAGCTCCTTGGCACAGCCCTCTGCAGCCAGCACCCAGGTGTCACCCAGCACAACCCACCCGGGACCTGGCTCCTCTCCCTCTTCCCTCTCAGTGGGCCTCAGTGGGCATGGCCCACGCCAACGCCGTCCGGCCTAGGCTCTGCCCCAAGCAGCCACCATTTTCAGTGT